ATACCTCCAACACCCGGCGCTGCCCGGACCCTAGCTGAAATTAACCGGTACAATCTGCTTCGAGCCGTGGGCGCCCTAGCCCGGCCCCGGCAACCGCTGGTGGTACTCGAAGACATAGACGCAGGAGCTATCACCTGCTCTGCTGCATACACACCTGGACAGTGGGCCTTCTTGTGACCTCTCTGACCGCAATGGAAACATATCGGGTCAAGTCCCTGGGCAATGGTAGTAGTGCAATCCCTGCTGAAATGACCCACTCGGCCGCACCTGAAGCAGCCCATAACACCACCAGTACCCCTCCTGCACGCACCCAAGTGCGACCTACCACACTTCCCGCATCGACTGCGGCTTTGATAGTACCTCGATCTCCAATCCGACCCTTTGGGCCTCTTGCCCGAACCTGTGGCTACCTGTGACCCATCTGTTTTCCTCTTCCTTTCCGACTCCCTGCCCGGCTCTCGCTCCTGAGCTACCCTATCAACCCCATCCATCATCTGAACAACTGTTGTCTGATCGTGGAGCTTCGCAGTCAACCTATCAATAATCCTCGCGACCATGCCGGGCAACCCCTCGCGAATGGCTCGCGAAACCTCCTCAACTATCCAATCATGCAGAGGTCTCTCTTGAAGACAGCGTGCCTGACTCACTCTTGTCCCTTGATGGCAAAAGCTGGAAATGGGATCTCCCTGAACCTCATAAGAATCGGGCTCTAGACGAGCCCCAATCTGCCCTGAAACCACCTTGGCCCTAAAGGCCTCAAGATAACTGTCCATAAGTTCCATATTGGCCTCTTTAACTGAATCGAAAATCACTGGAGTTTGATCGATAATGATGCGCATAATCTCTACGGAAATGAACTCCTTCATCTGATCGCCAAGTTGCCCAGCTCCAGAGCCCGAGCCAGATCCCTCCCTGGTACCTGTACTGCTAACTGGTGTCTCGCGTAAAGTCACCATGCTGAAAAATATAACACACTGCTGATCAATATACACACCACTGCTGAGGGATCTCTCACGCACTCTACTAGTTCTCTGGTTTTGTCTCGACCCCTCTTAAATCGAGTACGGATTCTCTGCTTTTAGTAGTACGGGACCATACTACCTTCCACATCTATCCGTACTTTCCTCAAGAGTTACCTCAACTCCACCAAGTCACTCTACTACTACTGATCTCTGCAACTCTCATCCTAGGCTTGCCCTAGGGAAACCTCTGACTCCATTCAAACCAGTCCTTAGCTACTGAACGCCTCCTTGTAATACTAATTAGTCATCACCTGAATACCATCACATGTGATGAGGCTTAGATAATCCTTCGAGTAAAAGACTCGTCCCTACAACGGTTAGACTCAAACAAGAGTTGCGTAATAGGGCCAAAATCAACACTCTGAGATTATTCAACCCTGACCACATGTGATGTGACGTATTCACCTAATGGCTAACTCCCATCACTCAGAGTCCCACAAAGCACAAAGCAAGCAGCATTCGGATACAGGAAACTACTCCCAACAAATCTATTTTCATAACGAGATACTGTACTAGCATACAATGCTAAACTCATACTATCAGGCATAACCTAACACAGGCTATCCTACTATTGTCTACTCAATACTAGCATGCAAATCTTGTAAAGCTGAAGCACATATAGCAGGCACATAAGGCATCCTCCTAGATCCTTAGTCCTATACTAGCATGCTGTTCTACTGAAACTGGAACTGAAACTGAAACTGAAACTGATAGTCATCACATAAACTTACTTGAGCTCGGCTGATTGCATGCACCACACCAATTTCTCTCTTTAAAGTTATTTTCTTTCTAAAATTTCTTTTTTCTTTTCCAAAAACTCTTTCTTTCCAAAAGAAAATTTCTTTCGAAATGTCTTTCTTTTGAAAACCTTTTACCATTTCCTTAGTTTGAGTTGAGACACATTCGAAGTGGATCCGAATCCCTCAAACCAAGGCTCTGATACCAACTTGTAACATCCCAAATATCACGACTAAAATTTTCTTTTTAAAACATTAGTAAAACCATATTCATTAAAACCGTAACATAAATCATAACATAATTTCGTAGCATTAATTCGAAATACAACTTATTATCAGAGTAGAGCATCCTAGGCTAGCTGACTATGGTGTGTGCACTGCAATCTTTCTGAGCTCCTCTTTTGAAAACTGAGTACCTGAAACCAAAAACTGAAACTGTAAGCACGAAGCTTAGTGAGCTCCCCCAAACTACCACATACAATAACATATAAAGCACATACTGGGCCTTGCCCACTGCATCGGACCGAGATCCGGACTATCTGGGGCCTTGCCCCGTGCATCGGACCGAAGTCCGGACTAACTGGGGCCTTGCCCCCTGCATCGGACCGAAGTCCGGACTAACTGGGGCCTTACCCCATGCATTAGACCGAAGTCCGGAAACTGACTGAACATAGCATAGCATAACATATCAACTAGCATGAACACATATACTGCATACTGTATCGGGCCGTAGCCCGGAACACATAACACATAACACATAAATCCTATCTGAGCCACGAAGGCATCAAACATACTAACTACTGCATCGGACCGAAGTCCGGAAACTACTACTAACTGAACGGGCCGGCATTGTGGCCTTAGACTCGTGCCTACTGGAAGGAAACTCACCTGAACTGCTGAATTCTGCTGGTAACCCTCGGACTGCTAACCAACCACCGTCTAAAACGCTGCTCCTCTAATTCTCCGAGCTACCAATAACAAAACGACACTTAGCCTGACAGTCCTCTAAAAGTCAACTAACTCAACTCCGAACAAAGTCAAAGTCCTGGCCAAAGTCAACCTTCCATGTTGACCCTACTCGCCGAGTTCACTGATTTCCGAGTTCTGTCCTGACCAACTCACTGAGTTCCCACTCAACTCACTAAACTGAGCCTTGACTCGAAGGGTTTGGGGTTTCGCGACTTGACTCGCCGAGTCCAAGAGCAGACTCGCCGAGTCCAAGGCAATCTTCAACAGACTCGCCGAGTTGTTCATCCAACTCGTCGAGTTCGCCTCCATCTTCATACTACTCGCCGAGTCCCTCAAAGGACTCGTCGAGTCTATTCAGTCCTTAATCCATGCAGTGGCTTTTCGAGCCAAACAGGGCTTCCAACTCATAGATCCATACTTCTAGGGCCTATCCCTCACGTAAAGTGGCAAACTTTATGTGTAGATCAAGAGATCTAGGCTTAAAACAATCCAAACTAGGGTTTAAGACAAAGAGGCTTCACTATCAACCCAAGAACAGATGCTTTATGACTTTCTAGGCCAAGATACACTCAAATCTGAAGTAGTAACTTCAGATCTGGGCTTCTAACTCGAAATAGTTTCTTAAGCATGGCGTAAAGGCTTCAAATCTCATAGCCAAGGTTGATCTATTAAACAAAAGAGGGAAAGTAACGATTTATTACCTTTAAATGCTCAGAAATACTCCACCAACTCTGGATCTAAGGCCCCCTTCTTGCCCCACAATGACTATCCTCTCTCTCAAGCTCCAAAGAGCTTCACCAAGGGTTAGATCTTGCTCCAAAACGATTATGACGGCTAGGGTTTATTGTTCTGTGCTAGAGAGGCAGTAAAGGAACCGTAGGGGAGAGAATGAGACGTTTAAATAAGCTCCAAGTCCCGGATTTAGGGTTTTCCTTGCCCAGACCAGACTCGCCGAGTCACCTTTCTCGACTCACCGAGTCGGTCGCTTACACCTCGGCCCGGATCCCGCTCGGACTCGCCGAGTCCCTCCTTGGACTCGCTGAGTCTCCCCATAGAATTTGGGGTTTTCTTTCTTTTCTTGGCTTTCCAAACTTTGGGTGTTACAACAAAAATTACCAATACACAGGTCCCCTTAGAATCCCTAAGTTCGTCCTTGTCTCGGGTACAAATCTTGTGCTTCCAGTAGTACGGGCCCAATACTATATTTCACACTTATATGTACTTTCCTCAAGAACCGTCCTGATTCCTCTAAGGTAGTGTTTGTTTTTTGTTTCCAGATCTGCGTGGCTTCTTCTGTCTGCGCCGTACAGACCACGCGCAGACATTAGCCTTTGCAGAGTGTTTGTTTTTTTTGAAGATTGCAGACCTAAAAATGTCTGCGCATCCTCTTCCTGGCGCAGATGTGGACAAAAGTCTTCTAACATCTTCTAGCCTAAAAAACATATATATCTTTATTCTTTTATAGTGTTTTTTTTTTTTTTTTTTTTTTTTTTAATTTTAAATTTTTAATTTATAGTTTTTATAACCTTATTAATGATAAACAATTTGAAAAAAAATTACAAAACTTAAAAAAAACGTTCGACGATACAAACATGATATTTTTGACAAATTTATAAATAAAGATTTATTACAATAATAGTCATTGAAATTGTTTATATAAATATGAAAAAAATATAATATATTCTTATATTTTTTTGCAAAATTTTATAAAACATTATTTAATACAATATCGTCAATTTTTCGAGAAAATATTTATGGTACGTTTTTAATGGATTTAATTGAAAAAATCGATGTTTATTTCCATCAATTTATGTATTAAATTCTTTGATCACTAATTATAATGTTTAGGTATAACTTTACAACCAAAGTTGTTGGTTTTATCAAATATATACGTTAATTCATATCATTTTTATTTTTATTTTTTATACAATAGTACATAAAATTTGATCTAGATTCGTTAATTATTTATAACAAAGTCATAAAAATATTTTTGAAGTTAAAAAAAATCAGTTTATTTATATTTCAGTTTATTTTAGTAGCCCACAGATATTAAAAAAAACAAACAATCTTCTTTTTTCAGACTGCAGACGTTTGGTCCACATTTTCTACTGTAGAGCTCTACCGATATGGTCCGCAGACTGTAGACATTTTGCATCAGAAAAAACAAACAACACCTAAATCAATAAGCTAGCACTATAAACCAATCATATGCACAACATACATATCCTAGACTTTCCTCATTTCAAACTCTTATCAAACAACAAAAAACTATCAAGAACAGCCTCACAATCCACTATCAAAACCTATTACAACGCTCAAAAATTTGAAGGAACAAACTACCAACAACATAGCATGCGAATCCCAATTCACCTCACTATCACAACTGCTTCTGTCTGAATCACACAATCACTCAATGCCATGAAAGTTAGCTTACAAATCTGCAATTTTTTTTCCTTGATTTCCTGTCTTTACAGAGATTTGTAAAAGTTTGAAATTAGTATCGAACCCACACTAGTTACCATTAGTCAAACACTAGTTACCATTAGTCAAAATAATAAACTACCCAAATAAACCGCATTGTGGTTGAACGTATATAGACACGTCAATACGTCTTCTTAAGTTGAAAGCATATATGTTTGGTTTTTGCTTTCCTGCCGTATATATCCTTGAAAACGTTTTCACTCCTCCTAAAAGCAATAGACGTTTAGACGCGTCTTATTTGATTTCAGCGTCGTCACTTCATTGCCTTTTCCGCCCACCATTGACGACTAAATCTCTCCCAATTCGATTCATCTGAAACTAACTTCCATTTTAGGGCTCATCCAGTTGACTAAAATCTAATTTAAAACTACCCCAATCGATCTGCAATTCTTGAACCTTCAATTTTGTAGATCCAATTGAAGTTCCGTGTTCGAGCTCAAGCTCAAGCTAAACACCACAAAACCCAGGTTAATCGAGATAATTTAAGCTCCCTTGATGGCATCAACTACTTCGTCTTCAGCATCTCATGGTGGAGCTTGAGGGTTTTGTTGTTGTCTCTGGCGTCAACGCGTTTTCTTATTGATGGCGGCGCCGAGGAATATCGTCGTGGAGACTGGAAAGTTGATGAAGGATGAAGAGACTGCCGAAGATTCCCCTACGAGTAAGAAGCCTATAGGTGCCAAATTAGACGGGAGGTTTCCGCTGACTGGATGGGAATTTACGGTGGCCTTTAGTGTTTTCTTGGTGTTTTCCACTGGGTTGTTCTGCATTTATCTCACAATGCCAGCTGCTGAGTATGGCAAACTTAAGCTGCCTCGCTCCATATCGGATCTGAGAATGCTCAAGTAGGTACCAGAACTCGCATTGTTTTTTCTTTACTATAATAGGAGTTTATGTCTTTTATCGATTTTTGAAAACTGATCAATTCTTTTGGTATAGTACTTCTTAGTGTCTCTCATTTCTAATCTATTAGTAAACTGTTCAAATTTTATAATGTTTCTTTGCTCAAAACTAGGGCTTTTATCTGCTTTAAGGAGTTGCACTCGAGTTATATACTTATTATGTGACGTCTTACCAAAATTTACATGTAGTTCAGGGTAAGTTCTGTTCAACAATATACTATATAACATACATTGTGTGGCTAGGTAACTTAAATAGTTTGGGTGGGAATTTCATTTGCATATTGTTGGAGTCCTACATCAGCTAGACACAGTCCTATCCACCTCTATATATGTTTTAGAGTCTCCCCTCTCTTCTCAAGGTTTTGGAGAGAAAATCAAGGACTCCACACAACATATAGGGAAATTAGATGGATTATGACAATGAATGAATCCTGCCATGCGTTAAAATTAAATAGGTTGCTTAAGAAGAATCACCGTTGTGTACAAAATTTAGGCTAGAGGCCATAGCAACTCACAAATTACACATTGCAAATCCAAAATGTGGAAAGAGTTTGGAAGAAGAATTGCGAGTGGTTGGGGAAATGAAAGGAAAAATAAATGTGTGAAAATTTATAAAGAAGCTAGGTTCTTTATGCATCGAGTCGAAAAGAAAAACCAATATATAAGTATGACTTACTAGATCAAATCATGTACCCATTAAGTAAAAAAGAAACAACATTGACTTATCATCCATTTACATGTTTCGGATTGGTTTAAATTCCTTTTTTTTTTGTTTTATATAAAAAAAACAGAGATGAGCTCGGAACATATGCGAACATTTACCCAACAAAGTTCATTCTGGGCTACTGCTCGACTTACATATTCATGCAAACATTTATGATTCCTGGAACCATTTTCATGTCGTTACTTGCTGGAGCCCTTTTTGGTGTAAAAGGCATCTTCTTGGTTGTCTTTAATGCCACTGCTGGTGCTTCATCCTGCTATTTTCTGTCAAAGTTAATTGGAAGACCCATAGTCTCCTGGCTGTGGCCAGAAAAGTTAAAATTCTTTCAGACAGAGGTATATATATATATATATATATCCATTGATTTGCTTGTTTACTTCATTTCTTTCTATTTGATTGGATTGTTCATTGTTGTAATTCTCATCTCAGATAGCAAAGCGCGGAGACAAGCTGCTAAATTATATGCTGTTTCTAAGGATAACTCCAAGCTTACCAAACCTTTTCATAAATTTGGCATCTCCGATTGTGGATATTCCATTTCATGTCTTCTTTTTGGCTACAGTTGTCGGCATCATCCCAGCCTCTTATATTACCGTCAGGGTATGTATGTTTCCATTGACAAGTTTTTTTTTTTTTTTTTTTTTTTTTTTTTTTTCTAGAAGGGGGGTATTTACGTCTTTTTATCTATTTGCTTTTGTGTTACAGGCTGGGCTTGCTCTTGGAGATCTGAAGTCTATTAAAGATCTGTATGATTTGAAGACATTAACTGTACTTTTCCTCATTGGATCCATCTCCATACTGCCAACACTCTTAAAGAGGAAACGGATATATGAATGAACCAAATATAGATAAACACACCATTCTACTTTCACATTTCATCAAGACATTATTGCTACACGCCCTATTGCTATGATATACGTACACCCATACAAGAGGATGGGCATAGTAAGTGACAAAATGTATAAGGAGACTGTAAACTAAATGTAGTAGACCCATGGAAGGATTCCGAATATGTTAACCTCTATTATACTTGTTATATGTATGTGAAACAATCTTATGTCGATTATATTTCTATTGTCGCTACTTAGACCGGACGGAGCCGGGTGCGGGAAGAGCGGAGGGACCTTTCCCGCTCCGATGAACACCGCACCAACAGTGCGAGAAGGCCTGCGCGGGGAAGGGGATGAGGGGCTCGGTTGCTGCGTTCTCGCTCCTTTCGTGATTGGGTAGAAAATGTTTTTTTTTTGAGAATAACCGTTAAAGAAGGGTAAAATGTGATTTTTTTTTTGTTTTTTTTTTTCAAATTCCAACGGCTAAATGGTTTGAAATTTAATTTTTTTACCCTCTATAACATTTATAAATACTCATGTTCATTTACCTTCAAACAAACCCTCTACAACCTCTATTTTCTTCAAAAAGAAAAAAATTAATCCCGACAATTAAACCTCAACCTCCGATAAAAGGAAAAAAACTTATGTTTTGAGTTTAAGTACCTCTACTCGAAACATTTTTGCTATCGATTCATTATCACAAGGAGTTTATCGTTTCCAACTCGATGCTTCCATTCAATCTCCACTACAATTTCAATACCAAAATGTTAAACAATATTATCCGGTCCACGTTCCAAATGATACTCCGTAAATGTTTTCAAACTTTGTTGTTTTTCCCGATCAACATTCGTCAAATCAACCTCAAACCCAAACTAAACCCCAAACTCAACAACAATTCCAACTTGTCGATCAGTTGGATGATTCGGAGGAAGAAGAGATGGTTCTCGAAACTCAACCCACACCAACCCCACAACGACGCAAAGGAAAACAACAAGCGCGCAAGGGAGTCGCACAACCGGGAAGACAAAAGCCGACAGCATGCCTTCCGCAAGAAGAGCTAGTTTTGGTAAAAGCTTGTGTTGACATTTCTAAGGATTCGAAGACGGGAAATGCACAATTGGGAAATCATTTTTGGTTTCGCATTTTAGAACGGTTTTGAAGTTTTGAGAAATAGCAAAGGAGGTTTAAAAAATAAACGGGTTGTACAACAACCTAAAAACCTAGCGAAAAAGTGGCCAAGACGACGAAGAAATACTTTAAGAAGCTTTGCAATTTTACCTTGAGGAAGTCGGAAAACCATTCAAGTGGCACGATTGTTAGAAATTATTGGTTAAAAGTCCTAGGTGGAAAAAATACGAGCGATATTTTATTTTTGGAGTACAACAATCAAAACGAACAATAACGGGCTTTAGTGGTTACACAACTTCCTCCGATGCTTGGGTAGGTCTAGATTTAAACCAGGAGGATGAAATCGAGCTAGAAGAAATTATCCGACCGATGGGTAGGGATAAAGCAAAGAGGAAGGGAAAAGGGACTTCTCCGGTTGCATCGGATTTCAGCATGGACGTTGACGAAATGCGAAAAATAACAGCATTGTTTGATCGATATAATCTTAATTTCACTGAACGCTTAACGTTCAACAAAGAAAAAGAAGAAGCAAGGAAGAAGGAGCGCGTGGAGAGACAAGAAATAGAGGATATGAAGTTCTTGATGGAAAACACCGACCATCTCTTGGGACTGATTCTCGAGCTCGTAATGAAGACGAGGGAAAAAATTATGAAAAAAATATTTTCCATAGGTTGTTGTTGGTTCGTTTGATTTTTTGTTTGTGTTTGATTTTTTTTAATGTTATACTTTATTAAATCTTAGGTTTATTGTAATTTTTATTTTAATTAATGAAATTCATTTTCTATTTAATTAATTTTTTTATTATTAATTTAAAAATTATAAATCATAAAAATGAATTAATTTTATTTAAAAAAATTAAAAAAATATATATTAAGGAAAACTTCCCACCTATTCCTTGGGTTTAGGAGGAAAGGAAAGTGAGGAAAAATATGTTGTGACCCACAAAAAATAAGGGAAGTTTCTCACCCACACCCTCCAATCTTATAATTCCTTTTAATGGATCAAAATAAGTATATAAAACTTCAAACGTAACAATAACCCTTCAAAATTTTATAATTCTCATCAAGAGATGAAAACTTTTAACACTTCAAAATTTAATAGAAACATATAGAAACATTACTAAAAGAGGGATCCAAGTAAAAGAATTTTCATATATTAATAAACTAGGTTACAACTCCTGAAAACTACGGATAAAAAATTAATAAAAATTTATTACACTAATAAGATATAAGTTTTGTTTAGCTTTTTATATTAATTATTTAAACATAAATTAATATATATTTTTATTTGAATATCTTCCTATATGTTATGCATGTGAAGACATTTAATATAATTATGATTTATAGAATATAATATAAATTTAAATAGAGTCTAAAAAAACACAATCAATCATGGAACTACATTGATATACGAAAAATTAAATATAACTAAAATATAATAAAAATATGTAAACACAACACAATAAATTACAAATTAAAAACTACAAATTGTTTATAAATTTCTAAAAACTTCCTGATATACAACATTAGAATTTTTGTTTGTAAAGCTACTATTCTTATTTAAAATTAACAATTTTAATTATTTTTTACTTTGAACTCTAGAAAATGCAACATATAATATTAGATAACAATTGCTCTTACAAACCAACATTCGATAAGAACTGTCTTTAACTTTTATTAATTATCATTGCAAACCAATTAACCTTGTAAAAAAAACAAATCTAAAATGGATAAATACACCAAAGTAAAAAAAAAAAAAAAAAAAAAAAAAAACGAATCTAACCACATAGTATTAGATCAAAAAAAAAAAAAAGAATATGCCGACAATTAATATCAAATTAAAATCATTGTTTCTCATTCTTAAAATCAATTAATTTTTACTTTTTTGCCATTCAAAACTCTTTTCCTTTTTATCAACCATGGATCTTTTCAGAAGTTTTGTTGAATATGATTTTGAGATGTGGTCGAGATCGTAAATGTCATCAAGGGTACGTTTCGGTTCCATACATGTAGAGATACATTTGTTATATATTTTTTTCATTTGGTAATGGCATTTCAACGATGTTCTTTTCGATAGTGTAAGGAAGTTAGGAAGTGCATTATCTCTGGTAGTTTGAGTCATACTTCCCTGAGAATATAAACAACATAAATCCAAAATAATCATACTTTATTTTACAAACATAAATCCAAAATAACGTTCACTAACTATATGTAGTCATGCTTGATGTATAGACCCATGAAATTAATATAATTAAGATTAGAACCAAATATTTGGTCTTTGTTACGTTTTCCAACACAGTTTTCGGAATGATATTATAAAAAAAGCTAATATTTTGCAAAATACTAATGTTAAAAAGTAAGTTATTTTGGAGTTTTATCAGTAATGGTAATTTTAAAAACGTAACTTAAGACCCTTTATTCAAGTATGTCATTTTGCACAATCGGATTAAAACAATAATTTACTTTTTAACATTACTATTTTGTACATTGATATGAACAAAAGCAGGAGACGAAGCTAAAGTTGCTGAAGGAATGCATCATACTACGAAAAATCTAACCAATTAATGAAACCATTGACATGGTTGTTAGTAAATAGTTGGTGTTTTTCGACATAAGCACCAAAATGCATGCAAAAAAACAATAATCCAACAGAATAATAAGCAAATTAAGGAATTCAAAGTATTTAACCACATAAAACCAATGATTATGTTCAATGACCAGGGGCGGATCCAAGGGGATCCTGGGGTAGCCCGGGATACCCCTCAAATTTTTTTCGGTAGTGTAATTTTTGTTTACGGATCCCTATATATGCATCCCTCCACTTATAAACACAAACAAATAATTGGTTTGCTGGTTAAGGTGTTGGCTTATTGAAGTAAAGGTCCCAAGATCAATTCTTGTTTCTTACATATTCTTTGTTTATTTTTGTTTTATATTCCCATCTATTTTATCCCAAATCGATAAACATGTGATGTTATTATGTTAGTGTTTCTCAAATAATATGAAATTTGATTTTTTTAAGCTTTGAACTGTGATGTTTTAATGTTTCAACTATTATTTAGTTCTATAATATGTTTTTTATGTTATAAAAACAATGAATGAGAGTCCTAAACTGATTATTAAACTGTAAATGAGAGTTCTGAAAAGCTCTATTAAACCAATGTATCTGATGAATTTTGTATACTAAACTGTGAATTGTGTATTACGTTGTAAAATTTATTTACGACTTAATATATTAAATTCACAATTTAATACATATAAATGTCTTCATATATTAATGTTTAAATATAAGTTTTAATTTGAAAATATGATTGTAAATATATATTTTTTTTTGTCTTAAAATGTGAATTTATTATATTAACTTGTGAATTTTGTATATTAATCTGTGAATTGTCTGTATTAAGAGTTTTAAATTGATATTATTGTTGTAAATTTATATTTTTTGTATTAAACTGTAAATTCATTGTAATAAACTGTGAATTTTACGTATTAAGCTATGATTTTTGTATTTTAAACTTCGAATTAACTGCATTAAGCTGTGAATATTTCTTTAAATTGTAAAACTGGCTATATTAAACTGTGAATTTTTTATATTAAACTGTGATATTTTTGTTTAAAAATGTGAATTGACTGCATTAAACTATGAATTTTCTGTTTAAACTGTGAATTGACTGCATTTTGTGTTAAAATATGAATGATTTATGTATAAATTTTTGTGTTAATTTTCTTATAAATATATTTATTTTTTTGTTGTATAAATTTGTAAGAATCCACTAGTTTTTATAATTGTTTTGCATTAAATTCCAAACAAGAATTAATAGGCTTTATTAAATAGTACATGTCGTATTTAAGTTGTTAATACATGACTTTATTTACAGATCTGATTCGGAAAAATGATGGCTACTATGTTGATATAGGTGGTTGGTGGCAGCATGTGGTGGTAGAGTTATAGTTTTTGACTTCTTTGAATTAATGAATTATTGTAAAACAGTGTGTATTAAGTTGCGAATTTTTGGCATTAAACTGTAAATGGACTGTGTAAATTTGTATTTTATATAAGTTTTGTGTTAAAATATGAGAACATATACAAATGAAAATATTAGACAGTAAAAATTATAAGTTTGCTTTTTTCATACCAAAAACACAAAAAATTAGGATTTTAACATGTTTAATAGGGGTATCATGTAAATATTTACTAATTAATGGGGGTTCTTAAAGTTCTTAATCTTTTATGGTTCTCATTGAACCACTATATATATATATATATATATATATATATATATATATATATATATATATATATATATATATATATATATATATATATATACCTATAATCATGGTATTGACTTTTAACCTAATTTCTCTAGGTTTATATATAGAGTCATTCCCCTCTTTATCTAAAAACCAAATCTTGGCCGATCTGCAACATTGGAATAGACTACAAAATCGATCTTGAGTTCAACAAAAATCTATTGCTATCGCCATCAACAATTACTCATCGACATCATCTGACTGCCGTGTCTACTATGTTGCTCGTCGCTCCCTTCCGACGTCCATACCTCCGACCGATCCCATTAGGTGAAATTGAAGTTTATTCGAGTTTTACTGGTTGCCATCGTAACCCGAATCCTAACAATCTAGGGTTCATCAAGGTTTGTCAATTTTTGCTGGGCTTTATACATATGAACACAGACTTTTGAGGTAATATCTTTCTTCTTAATAATAAAATAGGTAATTAATCCTATCTATTAGATTTAGTGTTGATTTATTCCCTGTATCTTGCAATTTAAACTTTTTTGTTATCGACATTTTTTTTTTCTTTCATTAGATCTAGAAGCTTTTATTGTAATCTATATGTCAATTCTAAATTGTTTATGGAGTTTTTGGCTTGTGGCTATTGGAGGATATCGTCTATTTTGAGATTTAAAGTTCAAAATTCAACCATATTTTTGAAACTAAGATATATTATTGAATCGCATGTTATATCTATTTGACTTTCATAGTAGGTTTTCTTTTTATTTGTATTAACTTGATTGTTTTTTATATAAAACAATGATGACAAAAACTTGTTTCCTGGAGCATATATGTTGTGTGGAGATTTGATGAGTTTTTTATTTTAATATTCATTATATGATGGTTTTCAATTTTATTGATGGTTGGTCGTCTGTAAGAGGCGTCCAAGTTGTCACAAATTTTACTCCTCCTTTTTGTATCTGATTCATATATTTGTCCATCAACTTATGAAACTACTTTCTAGTAATCACTTAGTGGTTTGTGTATTTTATACAATTCCAATAATATCAGAATGGAATCACGAATTCAAATTCTATCGGAATGGAAACACGAATTCTAATTCTGTTGGAATGGAATATGGATATTTTCTCATTGATTTATACATGTTCTACAATTTTTGGATATTGGTTTTGGTACAGTTAACAAGTGCATATATTTTTCCAAAGGAATATAGTTTTTTTTTTTATTTATCATTTGCTAATGCGTTATTGGATTTTAAACTATAATTGGATTTGTTTTCACAGAAGTTGATGCTTGAAGAACGGACAACAAAATTGAAAGTGTTTCTTAGCAACATTATTCTTTTAGAATGAATTAGTGTATTTGTTAGATTTTGATGTTTTTTTTTCCCGATTTGAAAGTTTTTTAGTTTTATTCTTTAACAATAAATGTAATTCTTAGCAATTGTTACATGTATTCTATAAGAATTAATGTAATTTTTGTTTTAATTCTTCAATTGATGGTTTAAGAATTTTGTTATTCTACAAGAATTTTTTAAAGTCATGATCAAGAAATATGTTCAAGAATATTTTTATTATTTTATGGTTCAAGAATATTTTTATTTTTGAACATACTCAAACATATTCTGTCAGAATGTCCGAATTAAAAACCTTATAATTTGTAAAATCGGATTTTTAAACTTAACATAATCTATGATCCCTTAAAATATGCAAATTTCCTTTATTAAATCTATATTAATTGACTAAAATACCCTTCTAGTTAAATTAGATGGTATTTTTCAATTATATTTAATTCAATAATATATATTAATCACTTTCTTAAAATAAGTAAAATGATTGGCCCACAATCATTCATACATTCACACAATAATTAGTTATAATATAATAACCTAAGCCTATATTTATATATATATATATATATATATATATATATATATATATATATATATATATATATATATATATATATATATATATAGGAGGGTTTAATTGAGAAAAAAAAAGGTTGAGAATGATATTCTCAGCCACACATTTGTTTTGCCGCAAAACACTTAGGGGTACCGACGGAAATTGATAACGGATACACATGTGTTTTCCAACCAAATATGTTTTCTTAAACTATGTTAATCATCACCTTAATATACACAAAAAAACATATATTTTTTTGTTTTTATTTTTTATTTTTAGAAAGCTATTTTTATCAAAAAATTATTTTAAATATATCAAAATTCATAATTTTTTATTCTTTATAAATAGACATCCATATTGATATAGTTTTAAGATAATAATTCTTTTTAGAGTTTCAGCTCTTGTTATTCATAAGTAAATAAAAATCGATTAGATTTTTATTACAATACATTTGTTATTCATTTATGAATAAAACGTATGTTTAACGTTTTTACAGTTTAAGTATCATTCATATATAAAAATAACACGTAATAAATCTTTTTTTACCTAATCTTTTGTCACACATTATATTTATATATGAATAAAATGTGTATTAATGGTCATCATATGTTATATTCATATATAAATAAAAAAATTATCAATTTTTTTTATAGTTCATTTGTTATTTGAATATGAATAAGTAGTATATTAATAAAAGACGATGTGTTTTAAAATTTTGAACTACTTATTCATATATGAATAAGAAAATGAACTGCAACAAAATTATGATAAATGTGTTTTTCATATATGAATGTAACTTGTGAGGAAGACTAATACACGTTTTATTCATATGTGATTATAACATATGACGAAAGTTGATGTAAATTGTAAAGAGTTTATATATGTTATATTTATATATAAATGATATTTAAACTCTAAAAAAATTAATCATACTTTTTATTCATAAGTGAATAATGAATGTACTGTAGTAAAAATTTGATGTATTTTTATTCTCTTATGAATAATAAGAGTTGAAACTATAAAAAAATAAAATTTGTATTTTATCTTAAAACTATAATATGGATGTCTATTTATAAAGAATAAAATTTATGAATTTTGATGTATTTTAAATAATATTTCGATAAAAATAGCTCCTTAAAAATTAAGAAAATGAAAAACAACTATATTTTGTATATATTAAAATAATGATTAGCATAGTTTAAGGAAATATGTTTTGTTGGAAAACACATGTGTATTCATTTCTCATTTCCACCGGTACCTTAGAGGCTTTTGCGGCAAAAATAAATGATTGGCTAAAATGATTTATCCCACTCTCAACCTTTTTTATTTTCTCAAATGAACTTACCTGTCTCTCTTTCTATCTCTTTCTCTCTCACTATATATATATATATATATATATATATATATATATATATATATATATATATATATATATATATATATATATAGAGAGAGAGAGAGAGCTAGATTCAAATGTTTCTAGCAATTATTGTATTCCTAAATGCACCAATGAGAATTGAAGAAATAATAAATAATTAAATAAATCATTTAAGGGTATTTTAGACCTTTTATATTTTTAATTAAGGGGTCATTTAATTGAATTCCTGCAAATAAGGAAATAAAATAAATATATTTGACCTAGTCTCTCTCTCTCTCTCTCTCTCTCTCTCTCTCTCTTATCCTCTCTTATGTTTCCTAGGCTTCTTCTTTTTCTACTACTAGGAGGATGAAATCAAAATGAGGAGGTTGGTACCTCCGATTAAGCCGCCAAGAGACACCCTCCTCCCCTGAGGATCGCTCTTGATGTCTACCCTTCACCTTCGTTTCCTCCCTGGAACATCACCACTAAAGAGAAGAAAATCAGCGACTTCCCACCGCCGATTACAGCCATTCCTTGCGATCGATTAAGAGTCACCGACCATTTTCTGACTGTTTTTGTGTTTCTTTCTTCTCCTATTAACAGAGGACCGAAGTCTTTCCCTCCCAACGTGATTGTTGTTGAATAGAAGGAGCAACCTTCGTTGCTACTTGACGGCAACACTGCTGCCTTCGTTCCTTTCCTTTCCACGATTGGTGGCTGACGGAGGCGGAGATAATGAACCAAGGGAAGCCTATCGAAGATTAGATCTCCCTTCCTTGCAATCTATTTAACCACCGACGAACCCATTGGAGCTGTATTATGGGGCTTTGTCATGGAAGTTGTTCTAACACTATATGTAAGTGTTTGATTTTCCCTAATTTTATTTACCCATGTGATACTATATTCTTGATTTTTTGAGATCCATCATATAAAGATGGTGAAATCTTCAATCAATGATTCACTTTCTCAACCTGAATTTTACCAGTACATCAAAAAATCAGATGGTGAAGTCATCCGACTTCAGGCACATAGAACTATAGAATAGTTTCAGATAACATATAAAACAATTACTTTGTCATGTTTGTACTCTATCTTGTAGAATTTGATATTTCAAAAAGACATAGGTGAAAATTTTATCTCTTATCTTCCTCATGAATATCAAGCACCAAAGGAATAATCTTCAATTAGTAGCAGTAGCAAAATCGCCTTAGTATCTACTATGATGAGGGTAATTCTGCCAGAATAGAATCACGAATTCCAATTATGTTAGAATGAAATATTGGATTCCAATGCTTAAGTTCCAATTCAACCTAAGCATTGAATTTTATATGAGCTATCATATCTAAAACTTGTTATTTTTTTTGATAGAATATGTTTATACATGCTTTAGAATGTTTATGCATATAGAAGAAAAGACTATGATTTAAGTGCATTCTGTAATGTATTCTGTTAGAATTTATTTATATAAATGCATTCTGTTAGAATGTCTTTGAGAATGTTTGTTAACAACAAGTATATTTGTTTAATTGGTAATACTAACAAGTAATGTATCTTATTCTTTTAGAATTGCATGGAGAAGGAATTCAATACTGATCATACAAGAGAAATATTTGGAATCGAGTTCAACAACATGTATATATGTGAAGATCAAGTTGATTATATGGACAATTGAATAGGATCAAGTGTATTTGTTCGGTAATTGTATATGCAAGAATGTTATTATTTAAGAATTTTCTTCATTTTCGATGATATTCTGTTAGAATATGTATAACTATATTAAAATGTATAAGGATATTAGTCTGTAAGAATATGTATGAATTTGTATTTAATTTCGGATGCATATTAAGAATAAAGTCATAGATCCAAGTTGGATGTATATGAATAATATCTTATTCTTAAATCATGTCAATTATCAAATATAACTGCATTGGAAATGTATTCTGCAAGAATAAAACCGAAAATATATTTATTAGTTTATGGTTGGCATTCTGTTATTCTGACAGAATAAAATGGATTTTTAAATTTGAATTAATTTAAAATATTTAGATTTTTAAAAATAAATGAATTAACTATCCCTTAAATTCTAGAAATTTCCTTTTTTAATATATGTAAATTGACCAAAATACCTTTATGTTGAAAACCGTGTGATTATATGGTACATGTTACCCTATTGTAATATAATAGACTGTCAGATCATGAACTTTGATTCTAATCCATCAGATGGTCCAGATTTGTGCATTCTGACACACAGTAGTTAGTAGAAACAAAATAACCTAAGCATATATATATATATATATATATATATATATATATATATATATATATATATATATATATATATATATATAGGGGATAGTTCAAATAAAAACAATAAATAGTGTGAGAACGTAAAAACATTTTTTTATGTTATTATTCTGGAATGAATTATGTATCGACACCTTTATGTCATTATTCAGTAAAGAATAAATGAATAGTTAAAGGTTAAAATTAAAATTAGAATTTACTTCAAAAATACTCATACATAAGTTTATAATAGAATAATAACATTATAATGAATATATGACTAGTCGGAAATTAATATTTATATTAGAATTATTTCAGCAATACATATATACAAAATTCATTACAGAATAATAACATAAAAATAGTGTTTTTACGTTCTCACACTATTTATTGTTTTTATTTGAACTTATATATATATATATATATATATATATATATATATATATATATATATATATATATATATATATATATATATAAACATTAGACAAAATATTACTTATGTTTAAATGCTTATTAAAAGGTGAAAGATATTTGATCATTTTTTGATTGAGGAAAACATAGAGTCAAATTATTATCTATTTAAGAATAACATTTTCTATAAAATCGATTATTCAACCAAAAATTCAAAACATATTGTAAATAACTAAAACAACCAATAAAGAAATATAAGGAAAAACAATTATTATTTAGTTTATTAGATTTATTCACTTTTATTTAGAGTTTAAACTTCACAAACCACAATCAAGAAAATCAAAACATATTGTAAATAACTAAAAGAAAAATATAAAATAGATGTCTTTTGTGAATTTCAAGGTAGTATAGATGACAGACAAATTAGTTGATACAATATGGAAAATCTCCAGAAAAGTTTTAAAATTTTAGTATAATTTATAAAAAAATCTCAAACTAAAATTTGTTTATAGAAAGCTCAAACTACCGGTTAAAACTTCGAAAAAACTCTTTTTCATCGATTTCGTAGATTTAACCGGTATTCTGTCATTTTTCGTTAGTTTGCTCAAAGTATTAGGACTTTTTTGAAAATTACCCCATAACAAAAATATTAGGACTTTTCTTAAAATTGCTATGGAATTAATGGATATCATTATTAACAAATCATTTATAAACATAACAAATATTTTTTATTATAAACAAAGGGAATACATTTGCTTCTAATTTCTAGGAATTAAATCTACAAGTGAAATAATAAGAATCAAATCCATAATGAATATTGCTAATAATAGAAATGTAACCAACGCTTTCATAGATGCCATTGCAGGGAAATATAAAGTATACTAACTATATAAACCAAAATTTTACTTTTATGGATAATAAATGAAAATTTGGAACTTGCCTTTATAATGCATAAAATGAAAACTATGTTTCTAGACATTTCCTAAGCAATCTATTAAATTATCATAACTCCTAAGTAGTAGCTTCAAAAACCTGATCATTGAACCATGGGACCGAAATCCATATCTCACGATCAGATTCAGCTTACTCTTCTGAAGTTTCCTTCTTTCTATTAGATCCTGCAATACCATCGAAATGTGATCATCACATCATGTATTAAGAGTCTATAAATAGGAACTTGTTAAGATAATGGTGTTGGATTAATTTCTAAGTCCATAACTATTTTGGTATGTACTTGACCCGATTGTGCATGGTCCTTTTGGGTTGCCTTCACATTGGTGACTAGACAAGATGATTGTTGAGGATAGAGTCTGGTTTATTGTTAAGAATAATAAATAAGGGTATAAATATGATTTTTTAATATATTATATGAATAATATATTAATTTGGAATCATATTATTAATTAGTATTTAATCAGAAATTAATTAGAAATTAATTTCGGGATTAAAGGAATTAATTAAAAGTACAGGGGCTGTTTTGTAATTATTTGATAGTTGAGACTTTGGGCTATTGGATCACCTTTATTAAGGCTTGAACGAAAATCCTAAAAGGATCTAGGAGTTTTCGTCCGAGGGCTTAAGGAAAGGAGTTCATGGACTTGCTTAGGCCCTAAGTTAAGGGATTAGGGTTTACACCTTGAAACCCTAGTTAGCCTTAAGTATAAAGAGCACCCTAAGAAACTAAGATTTAGTCCAACCCTTGGGTAACCCTAAAAGGGACGAAATCTAGGGTAAGATACCCTTCTCTCCTCTCTCCTATATTCATCCTTTCACCTAGTGTGTTTGTGAGCCATTTGAGGTACTACACTTGTGGTACTTGCTTTCAAGAGCTAAGGAAATTCAAGGAACTAGTTGTTATTGATGTATAACAACAAAAGGTATGTATTCTAATTTTATATATGAATTTCGAAAATTATAGTAGCATGCCAAGTTTCTTTTTGTGTTCATAAAGTTGTATAACTAATAGTGAAAACATAGATCCAACTCTAGGGTTGCATGCACACATAGGATTGTTTGTATTAAACCCATCAGTGGTATTAGTGTTGGATTAGTGTCTAAGTCCATAACTATTTTGGTATGTACTTGACCCGATGGTGCATGGTCCTTTTGGGTTGCCTTCACCAAAGCAACTTGATTGGAGAAATGAATAAAGAGAGAGAGGATAATATGATTTATTAATATGTTATAAGAATAATATATTAAAGGAGAAATCATATTTGTTTAATTAATATTGGTCAATAATTAATTAAGAATTAGTTTTGTGATCAAATGTAATTAATTAAACTAGAGGGGCTGATTTGTAATTATGTGATAGTTACAAAATAAGGTAAGGATTATCTTATTTATATGGTGGACGAATTTAAGGTTGGAAAGCCTTAGAATTCGAGTATGATAAGGATTCAAGGATTATAACATTAAAGGTGTATAAAATACTATATAGTATTTTAATTGAATTAAAAGTGTAATTGTTAAAGTTAACCATATAGTATTTTAAAATTATAAAATACACCCTATACTATGTATAACATTAAAGGTCTAATATTATATATATGTATGAGTAAAAGTCAGTCTTACCGTTAGTAGGCCTCATTCACGAAGCTGGTCTATAAGGGGTGTTTAAGGAAATTGCCTATAAAATGGCGATTGAATGGGTATCCACTCTTACCCACCGCACTCTTGACTAGTGGAGGGTCGTTAGCCGAACGGGTAGGATAGGACGGAACCTTCCATTATAAGTATAATGAAATACAAAGTAACTAAATGTTTTTCAAATTCCCAATCTTAGTTACTTAGGCAAAAGTGAATTGATGCAATTCCATGAAATTACACTTTGTGCCCTTGCGAAGACGTTAGTGGAGCGTGTGTGGTTTACCGGCACACTAAATGGTTCTAAGCAAAGGTAGCAAAGGGTGACTCAATGTTTGTCATAGTTCGGTGGAGCGTGTGTGGTTTACCGGCACATCGAATAGGTGATTGTAACATGTGAGGGCACCATGTAGTTTGCATGGTTATTCACACCCGCTTTGTGATCCTCGACATCCCAGTCACAAACAAGAGGGGCATATCGAGATTTAAACATGCCATTGAAAGTTCAATGAATCTCAAAGGATCTAGGAGTTTTCATAGATTTAAAACTTAAATTTCTTTTTCGTTTTTCATGATGGAAACTAGTGAATCGTCATTCACTTACCTTCAAATGTTCTGCAATTTGGGTTACGGCATCCCTCTCCCGAGTTGTAGGATATTTTGTTGGGTCCTAGCCTTGGAATTTCATTTGGGTGATTTACCAAGGACTCAATCAATCAACTAACTTGAAT